ATGTTAAATAAAATTATACATTTATTATTATTTTTTTTTTGTTTTATTTTTTTATTTCGCAGGGAAACTCTTTTTACGAGCCGTCCAACTGGCCTTGGTGGGGCCGGAAGGGATGTGTGAGGCTCGGCCTGGGCAGTGATCAGACCCCCTACTCGCTAAAACCACTGCGAAAGCCATCGGCCGCGATGTTGATGTACCCCGGATCTGTTAGCGAAATAAAACTATACATAACTAAACTGTCAAATAAAATTATACGTGTAATATTCAAACTATTTGTATAATGTTTTATGTATTGTATATTAATTTAAAATATTTTAAACGAGTACATTTATACATCCATACGTCCACACTGACTTATATTTATAATATTTCTAGTAGGGCATAATGTTTCAGGGTAAAAAGATCTTATGCAACACATCACTGTTATAACATTTCGAGAAAGTTTACTATCCATTTTAACTTTCTTTATCCTTTTCTGTTATTAAAATCCATGTATTCTCATTTTTAGTTGTTAGTAGGTACGTGGTTACTAAACAGAAGCAAATTGAATAATAAGACAAGTTAATTTAATCAAGCGTCCTGAAAACTGATAAATAATAATTATTTAAATAATTTGTAGATTATTTTAATAATTATTATTTAAGAAATTATTAAAGAATTTCTTCTTTGTTTCTAATAATAACTTAATACATATTTTTATGAAAATTGAATATTTTATTTAATTACCCATAAAATTTATCCTTAAATAAAAAAAAAATCCATAGTGGGAAAAGTGAGTCTAACACTACTATATTACTACTAGTAAGCATCATTACGTTACAAGCGAAACGTTTCTCGGTGTTTATTCAATTACCTACGTAGAGAGAGGAAACCTCCAAACGTGCGGGCGCCGGGTTCTTATCAGCGAAGATTTATGAATAAAAAACTGTTAACACCCTTTAAAATTTACATGACTACGGGAACTTGAACTAAACATATTTTATGCTTAATATATTTATTTTATTTTATTTACGGTTCACAAAACAGATTATAACTAGATACAAATTGATAAGTAAACATTATAAATAAGCTGAGTTATAACCCAACAACTATGTGAACACAGATTATAAACTAAATATTTCACTTATAAAAACAAAAGTACATCAGCACTTAAAAATACATTGTATACATAATTATAAGAAAAGACATTTACAATAAATAGATAGAATATTTTACACAGAAAAATATGAACAAGTTACAGCAATAAAAATATAATCATTATTAAATTTTCAAAAGAAAAGGAAATAATATACCTATTTAAATAAATAATTTGCACTAATTTACTGTCTCGCTAATTCAAAAAAATATGAAAAAATAATAATAATTAAGAAGAATATCGTGATAGAAATACGAATATAAAACACATTTCCTTCTAATAATCTATTTTGAAGGTTTCTACAAACGCACCGAAGTGAAATTGAAACAAAATATTGATACATATATTCTAACTTTATGCATTCATGAAAGTACTTTAGGTGAACTCCATGAATCAAATTTGATACTCATGAACATATATATACACTATAAATATCAACAGGAGGACCTTGAAAAGGCTATCATCAGTATTAAACAATAGAAATTTCCTACATCATGAAGCACTTCTTATAAGATCAATCAGCATGTCTAAAGATCACAAGGAAAAGTAATAACATTTATTCCCTTATTTTTAGCGACTAATTTTTATAGTACAAATGTCCTAATTACATACCTTGTTTAGATTTTTTAATGAGTGATCTATGGCCTTTTATGTGTCAAGTTTAAATGGTCACATATGTTATTTGTTTTCGCCCACTGTTTAATATGGTCTTTATGAAGACTCTTCAAATAATAAATATAATATTTGCTTTAAGTCACAACAACTTTCAATATTTTAAAATGAGGTATTGATATTGGTTCTGTGAAGTCAAACTTCTAACTATACAGAAGTTTGATTGAATAGTATGAAAGAATATTTAAAATTTTTAATATTCAATAGATAGATATGTTTATATAAATAAATATTAACTAAATTTTTTTTTTGCATACAACTATTAGTAACAATTCATATATAAAATTATTCAATAACAATAACCTGAATAAAAAATACAACGAGCATACATGACAGTCAATTTAAATTGAATTTTGAGCTGCAATGAATATTCCGATATGGAATCAACATATGTATAAATTAAATATGTAGATTCCATACATATAAATTCATTATGTTTTTACATAAATTTATTAATACATTTTATTATTTTTCGTAATTTTATACAAACAAAGACACGATCTTTGTTTAGTTCGTAATAAATAGAATATTACGAGTACCAGCACGACTGATTCATTCATACTCTTTATTTCGTAATCCCTTAATTGTTTTACCTGATCAAGTTAGTGTTATATAATGTTGTAAAACAAAACATAACCTGACACTATACCGTTTTGAATTCAGCTAGACAGCAATCCCATAACCCAACAATTTCATTAGATTAATAGAAAAGATAATTGTTTGTTGGAGAAAACCTAAAATCTTCTGAACAATTTTACAAATACTCATTCGAATGTTAAGAGCATCTTCTATCCCCTAGAGCTTCATACTATTAGGACAGACGTTACTCGGATCACCTAAGGCGTCCTATCAGTTTTTAAAAGAAACCCTCCCACACTTCGTTAGCCTGACCTCATTGTACATATGGGACCATCACTATATTGAACACAGAAACGAGAGTAAAAATCGTCGCTTTACGGGCTCTCTGAAAATGTGATTGTCATCGTCTTTTGTTCGAATACGTAATATTTGCCTTACTATTATAGATTCGTCTGTAACTACGTAAAATTTTCCAATATGTGTACGTTAATCAACTTATTTATCTTGTGAGAATAGAACATTTATAAAAACTGTAAGGGTTTTTTATTCTGCTTTCGGGATTTTCACTATAAAAATGTAGACATAAAAACGCTTAAATGAAGGAATAGTCTCTGTTTAAATTAAATCCTCTGTAAAAACTTAACTTAAAAAAAACTAACTCAGAAACCATGTTAAAAAATGTCAAAGAAAATTTTTTTCACTCTCCAACCCATACTTCGCTAAGGACCATTATCCATTAACTTTCCCTTTAACTTTGTTTCAAACCAAAGCTCAGCGTCGCAGGTAAAACTTAGTTGAGTTATATATAAAAGCAATTACTGTTGATTTGTTTTGACCAAACTCTTTATAATGACTTAATTATATGACAATGACATTTGATACCAGTTTAAATTTTGTAATTAAGTTCCCTTATATAAAATAGACTGAAATATATACATATAGCATTCAAAAAATGTACTCGACACAGTTTTATACAAATTCATTTACTTAGCATGCTCTTTATAAATAGGTGCAAAATGAATAATGAAACTAATATTTTTGGATTATACTAAGCGTAATTTATTATTGTAAAACTACATACTCACGACGTTTCGGTTATTTTTCAGCGTAATCCGAAAAATCTTAGTTTAATTTAAATGAATACTCACGAAAGTCTTAGATCTCATTATGCAAATGAATAATGTTCTCCTACCTCATGATGCCGTCTTTAAAGTAAGTGGGGATTATTAAAGTTTATTATTCAAAAATCAAATTATTATTCTCGTAGCTAATAATGATACTACTAAAAATAAATAATACCTTAAAAAAAAACTAAAAACACTCACTTTTATAGCTAGCTATTCGAACTAAAAAATCGAAAATAATTTTTCAATTACAAAGAAATTATTTTAATTCGGAGTAAAAAGCGTGGGGTATATTTGCCCACATTTCATACCTCTTCTCTCATAGATAGTTGCCCCTAATTGATTGTAACATTCTATATAAAACAATTTAATATTGACAAAATTGTACAACAAGTTTCATTAAACTTTAAAAATTAAAGGCGGTTCTAAAGAAGTTTCCCTTGAATAATTTTGCTATAAAAATACTTAATTTAATAAGATAGATATATTTTATTAAAATAAATATAATCTTGATGGTTGCTATTAATATATTACACTAGCGTATGACGTCATGACGTTAGTGTTATACATATATCACTTCGTTTTGTTCATCCATCTCCACGTATCTACTACCATCTAGTAACGATTATCATTTGTTATAAATGATAATGGATTTCTATGATTCCTACTAATGCAACAAATTTTAGCAAAATAAAATAACTACATATTTTAATAAGGAGATCTTTGCAAACTATATTGGAAGTCTGTGATCTCTCTAAACAACTGTCAGACAACTACATTAATTTCAAACATGCTTGATACAGAGTTCACAAAGCTGAGGCTAAGATTAAAATACAAAAGTTTATTATAAATGCAGTAAAATTTTCTAAATATAAGAACAGATTTCTTGATTTTAATTAATGTAAACAGGAAAAATTACAAAAAGTTTTTTAATACATATATGTGAATGAAATAAATAAACCGTCATTAAATTATGACAAGAAGCAAAAGGGTTTCACTTACGATACATACAAATGTATATTACTTATTTATAATTAAAAAAAAAAACAAACTGTAACTCTGTGCAATATTTTCTCTGTTGAAACATCTGTATGAATACTTACCTAAGTCTAACAGCGCACAAAGTTTCTGACATTATACAAAGCTCATATTACAAGGATTATGCATGTTGTGAGCTGTGAACTCATTTAACTTGTATCATTAAGATCTACTTCACTTGACACTATTGTATAGTTTAGTTGGTTGTTTCAACATTTATAGATTGAAATAAATACGAACACGTTAATTTGATTTTGCTATAACAATGGATGATAATAAAAACTATGATTTCAAAAATTCTTATTTAGAGAGTTAAGTTTTCAAAAATATATATTTTACCCATCCCTTCCCGATATTAAAATAATATAAAGTCGAATAAAAATAGAAATTCCTCTATTCTTCTGTGTACTTAAAAAGGCTTTGACTTGGGATTTCTTACAAAGAAAATATCAATGCAAGAGCGGAAGGAAAATAGTCGACGGGAAACTCGAACGCTTCGCATTGAAACCACAGGGTTAATTCCGCCTTCAATAAAGGCTTGTTTGGGCTTTGACTTATATCCTTCCCTGTATTTCAGGTCAGAATATATTTAGTATAGAAAAATTCTTTTAAACCTGCCCTGAATAAATATACTTACAGATTACTGAATACAAAAATTAATTCAACATCAATGATTGTATTATAAGTTTAACAGTTGAATGGTTGAATAAGTCGTTGTAAACCGTTGATATGACCTTTTTAATGAAAACTCCGTTTTCAAAGCAAACCAAATTATTATTATTAAGGCCTTTGTATATTTATATGTTAGGAAACATAATGATCTCGTACAAATTTTCCGTCCGAAATGTAAATTGTTCATGTGCCACGAACTGGAAAATAGTAAAAGTTAGAGTAATTCCACTGTTCATTCCCTAATTCTAAGAGGCATTACACGAAAAGTTATTTAGGAGTACATAATACAGAATGTTATTTTAAAGCGTCAAAGTCGTATAACCTAATTTTAAGGTAATATACACAAGTGCACAAAAAAATTGTTTCAAACTATCATGCACCTGTAATTCAAGATCAATTTTTCTTATAATTTCATGACACACTATAAAAAAAATATAAATCATTATTCAAAACTATGTTTCTGCTGACACCATAGTAGGATTACATTAAGGAAGAGATTATTTTTGGAGGTGGTAGAGCTTAGCTGTGGTCAAGTGACTGCAGACCGAACATGGGCTAGCTCCACCGGGAAAGTACCACCCTCTCACAGAAGATCAGCGTGCCTTTAATGGCTGCGTTTCGTCCGATGAGTGAGAGAGCCGGTTGCCCTTTCCTTTCCTTTAAATTGCATCTTTAAGCGGAATCTAAACTTGTTTCTAACAGCAGGAACTCGCTTTCCTAGAAGCTATTTGAGACTAGAGTAGAATTTATTAGGGGTGTAAATGTTTATTGTTGACTTTTGTGTATCTCGAAAGAATCGTTTGTGCTTACGAGTTTAAAATATTGGGCAAGTTTTTGTTCTTATCCTATGTTTAGAGATAATTCTTAATTCATATTATTAATCTCAAAATTTAATGTTAAAATCTCGATACTTAATAATCTTTTTTTATAATAACATTAATAAGAAGCAACAACTAATATAAGAGCACCTATATTAAAATCAGTATTAAGTTATAATACTCTTCTCATACATGTGTCAGTTGTCACCCAATTTTATAATAAATCTTATATATATAAAAGAAAGTCGTGTTAGTTACTCCACTTATAACTCAAGAACGGCTGAACCGATTTAGCTGAAAATTGGCAGGGAGGTAGTTTAGAACCAGGAAATTCCAATAGGATACTTTTTATCCCGTTCGACAGCATTCCCGTGGGACTTGACATGAAACGTCAGTCACTATGAAACGTGGAATAACGAAACACAATTTGACAGCTATGCAATTGACGTATGGATGACAATTTGATAATTGTAAGAAATCTACTATATAAAAATAAGTCCGTTTTTCCATCCTGACGCTATAACTTCGGAACGAAAGAATCAACTTCCACGGTTTTGCATTCGTTGGAAAGGTCTCGGGCTCGGGCTCGGGAAAATCTTTTGTCACATACAGCGCCATCATACATAACATGTACTACAAATCAATATTAAGTATTTTAAAGTAGATGGTGCGGTCGCATGATACATTGTTTGACAGCTACTCATTATTCTCTTCTCAGTTAATTTCATGTGACAAACCGGTATTATGTTTGTAGTTTGAACTCTTAAAACCATTTAGTATTTGAGGGATAAATTTAGAAAATCATTGTTTTTCACATGGGCAGTTATATTTTGCGTGTTCACGAGTTTGGAAACCATCCGCTTTATTTGTGTTAAAGTTAGACCAAAAAACAAAAAATGTGTTTTACAAAGGAGCACTTCAGTGAAATGGATAATTTGCGGACACGTATAACGCTTCGATTCGATACTTTGGATTCACTTTCATTTACTTAGAGAAGTTCAACTAAATAACACTTCATTTTTGTAATCGAAATGAATTCATTACTGTTGTGAAATGAAACAAAAATTTTCCTTTTCAAATATAAAACAAAAAAGTCTTCATCTTTTAATCACCGAACGAAATGTTATATAAAAGCCTTCTGGTGGCGAAACGGAGTTCGCCGGGTTTACTAGTTACACATAAAATATCATTAAAAGATCGTTTAAGTACGTATTATTAACGTAATAATTTCATTTATCTAATTATATTTTCATGTCAATCAGATATTTTTTATTTATTCCCTAAACAAGTTATTAGCATAACCTGTAGTATTAAATATCTGTAAAAGCCATTTATTTATATTTTGTACAAAATGAAAAACATAAAAACTTTGATATTCACCGTCACTTTCAAGGGCCATATTTTTCAATGACAGTTGAAAAGAAAATGTGACCTTTATAAAAATGTCTCCAACAAATATGAAACAGTTTAATAAAACTACAAATATTACATATAAAGTTAATAACTCTTCACATAGAAACCAACAAACTGATGGCGAAATTGTATATATGTATAAAGCATATTTAAATAAAATTGACTTGAAAAACTGATGTATTTAATATTAGATTTAAAATAACAATGTTAATGTTATAGTCAGGATTCACACCCTGGCTGCGAAGAGTTGCAGCTAGGTGCGCAATGGCAACCGTGATTTTTTAGAATCTACATATTAATTACTATCATGTATAGCTTCTTTTATTTAAAAAAAAATAAACGGAATTATTTCCCAAAAATAAATTAAAAATAATGGCGGCCAAATTTTGATAGACAACCTAGTAAATATGTATATTGTATATGTTCTCCTTACTATAAATAAACATAAAAATTTGGTTTTAAACAAATTACCGATGAACGCACCAATCCTGCAATGGGTTGTTAGACTATTAAATGTACTTAAAAAATATATACATCTTCTCATTGTTTGAATAGTATAAGACAAATAAATGGTAGGCGAATTTTTAATTTTTCTGAATCCCTTAAAATTGCGTTTTGGTTCTTACGTCTAAATTTTTTTTTTAATTATTATATACTCCTACCTAATCACTAAGTTATGTAAATAAAAACTATATGATATCTTAGATATCAATCAATTAGTCATGAGGCTTCAGTGAAACTAAGCCTTTGGTCTATCAAAGGAAATTCTATCCGAATATCAAAAGAATATCATCATCGCTTCACGTTAAACACATATTTTTTTGAAATTATTAAATCGAAATGAAAACAATTCGAAGTTATTTCGTGCAAAATCAAGAAAATAACGATCAATACTACTCTGTAAAATCCAATTTAAAGTCGGAATCCAAAACTCTTAAGCGATATTTTCAACTTTCCCAAGTCTTATTACTGACACATAAATGCAACACGTTAACCTTATACATACATATATAGACTTTATTAAATCCTACGTGATTAAGACTAAAGCTTTTTCCCTAAACTAAGTTATTTTTATCATGTGTGTGAGTCACCCTTAATAAATAAGATATTTTTAAATGAAACCACTATTTTCGAATGTACTACGCATTTTTAAACTAAATAAAACCCACGTTATTATAAATAACACCCACAGCAATCGTAATCACGGGTAGACGAGATCTAGTCCCCTAGTAAGTTCTCTCTTAAACTTGAGACCACAAAGAAATCTTTGCTAAAGAAATGAATTAAAATAGGCCTTAAATAAAAATGTTGTATGCGGACATAAATTAACTTTAATTTAAAAATAAATAACAAAGATGTGAATGTGAATACAAGCTTGCGGTCTCACTTTCAAAGTAAAGAAAACATACTGCTTAGAAAGCTTAAGCCACTAAGTTGATCTAATGAGTTGGGTCACGTAAATATGTATCTTTTTATATCTTTAAACATATATAAGCGTTCTACAAGACTCGGTGTTTTCGTATAAACAGATGAAGAAACTGTTTAATTTTATCTTATTGCTATTTTGAAATAGAATCAAAATAAAATGATAATCAAGGATTTTCGAGTAATTTATTAAAATCTACTACTTGGTAATTGGATTATCTAATTAGTTTTAACAACAACATAACGAGGATGTGAGTATCATACAATTTGAAAAACTTTAAATTCGAAACGTCTCCACTGTTTCCGCAAATGGGGTCACAATGAGCTTGACGACCCGACCGTCACAAACCCTCTCATATACAAAATTATTAATAAAAAACAGTGAGTATATATTTCTTTGGTCACAATTCTATGTACTGATTTATTAAAATTCTGAAAATGACACTTTTTTCGCTGAGTGTTGACAAATTTGAGTAGCGAAAATTATTTTGATTTTAACTTCTTTCTAAAATAATACTTTATTCAATTTAAGGATATCATAAAATTTTATTGAAAATTTAACAAATCATCTAAAGCATTCTTATTGATGTTGTACAAAATTACATGAATATACCGCACGCCTATCCCCAAAAAAAATATAACACATACAAATAAAGCCTTAGGTTAGTACATGAAGTGCGTAATATTTATAGTTACAATTCCTTTGAAATAATTAATAATAATTCCAAGTATGATTACAGATCAATACCTGATCACTATGCAAATAAACTTGTATCAGAAGGTATTCTAACTGAAGCTGAAGTCGAGAGCATAACAACAGAATTCACCAAGTATTTACAATCGCAATTCGAACAACATCATTCCTACCAGCCGGAGGTAAAGCGCTCATTCATTCCTATCATAGCTAGCTCGGTGAAGCGATCAGCATTCTGATATTGCTTCAAAGAAATACAACGTCTAGTAAAGAATATGTATTGTTATTGCAATTCGCTGAGAAAGAGAAAAAAATAGAGAAAAGGTAAAATCACATGACATTCTTATTTTATAAGTCAACAAGCTTTGCCCTGCACAGTTCGCTGTGAACAACAAACGACAGTTTTATTTTTCAATCACCTTTACCTCTCAAAGGCTCCGTAAAAATCGTTGCTATGTTCTTCATTATTTTTTTTACTGCGAGCCTTGTGTCGTTGTACTTTTGACTGATTAATGGGGCACTTAGGAGTATGTTAGTATCGTGAAAAAAAAATAAAAATGATCATGGTAGCTTGCTGTATATCATGTCAAAATTACAGCTGAATCAGTGTAAAACATTTTCAGTTGTTGAAGCGTACACAAACTTAACATTTGTGTATATAGAATAAGGTTGTTAATAAGTTAACTTATCGCTTGACTATCAATCGAACATGCAATTCATTTTAGGTATCATATTACCAAGATCAATGGTCAGGAATGAGTGCTGCACCACGAGCTGTGGAACTCTGGGGTACTGGTGTTGACACTGAAATGTTAAAGCAAGTCGGACGAGCTTCTGTCATTGTACCTGATGAATTTGTAAGTATGAATAGAACAGTATTATGAAAATCAATATTATTTATGTCACAAATAATTGTATTAACGGGTCAAAAGTTAAGTAGGGGCTGCCGAAAGCTGGGCATTTAATTATTAACTATGACTATCCTTAACCTACGGCAGTATCGTAATAATATATATGTTTACGTTCACAGTCTTTACCGCGGTTTATCTTATGATATTAAAAGCATGGGATGCTCTCTGAAAAATATTTCTTTAATATCGCTACTCTTATCAGTGTCAAGTTATATGAGGCAAATATGCGATGTTAGCGAGACAATAAATTTCCTATACGTACATGCACCCCACGCTTTTTAAATTAATCTAATATCTTTTATGTATCACTCTTATCTCTCTCTATATTATCTCTCTAAATTATCTCTCTATATATCTCTATATTATTAATTTATTCAAAAAAATTATCAGGTTTATAGTAGGATATGAAATGAGAATGAGAATTACTTCATGTAGAATGTGACTATGAAAACTGGATTAAATGTACTTGAATCTCAGCTATTTATTTATTTGAAACTATTGTAAATTAATATGTGTATGTTTATAATTCAAATTAAACGTTTAATATTCACACGTATTGGTCATCGTTTTAATTAAAGCAAACATTAATTTTGTGGACAAAAAATATTATAAAATCGGTACAATTAAATCATTTTACTGTCTAGGAGTAATTCAAAAATACTTTTTGGAATCGAATGAGCGTTAGTTCTATGGGATATATATCTATTTAAAATATAGTCAAAGGATTTTTCTTTGTAATTTCAATTTTTAAAATTAATATAAATATTAATATTACAATAATTTTTTACCTAATGCAGGTCATACATCCCCATTTAGCAAAAACTCATGTAAAAAATCGATTGAACAAATTGTCAGAGGAAAAAGGACTTGACTGGGCTACAGCGGAGGCTCTTGCTTTTGGTAAAAAAAAACTATAATAAGTATACTTCCATCAAATAAAACTACGATTTTCATATATACTAGGGCACATGAAGTGTCATACCACATTCTTATCTCCTTTGGCCGTGATCACGGTTGCTGTAAAGTGTAAAGGAACCGAAACGTCTCGAGTATATGTAAATATGTACATATATGTAGTTTTTAAAAACACGTAGAATATTCGAACATATTAGTTTTATTTAAACGAATACTCCCGAAAATCTTAGACATCATTAAATATATGTACTTATTGCTTCTTCTTACTGACATATAACAATTAAACTACTATACGGTCAAGGTCAACTTTGTTTCATAACTAATACTTTTAAAATATTTTAGGATCATTGCTAATGGAAGGCCGGAACGTTCGCATTAGTGGAGAAGATGTTGGTAGAGGCACCTTCGCTCACAGACATGTTATGTTTATAGACCAGGATACAGAGAATATACACATCCCACTGAACCATATACACAAGGATCAGAAAGGGTTTTTAGAGGTTTGATAATAATATACAACTCAAAATTAGAATGATTTTGAATTAATGCCTAAATACTTTGAAAAAAATATATTATTACTTTAAAGGTGGCAAATTCAATTTTATCTGAAGAAGCCGTATTGGGATTCGAATATGGGATGGCATTTGATTCGCCTGAAAATCTTTGTTTGTGGGAAGCACAGTTCGGCGATTTCTATACGGGAGCGCAGATTATAGTTGACAATTTCATTGCTTCTGGTGAATGTGAGTATATATTAAATACTATCTCTTGCAAATTCTTTTTTATATAATCTCGCATTTTTATATAAAGGCACTAAAGAAAGTATATAAAACATTTAAAACCGTATTCTTGTACCTGGCTTCTTTAATGGACTTTTACGATCATCTTGAGAAACCTTAACTTATCTAACATTGTGTCGAACTGAATAGAAAAGCACTTTGACCGGGTATTGTTACCATTATTATCGAAAGGTTGAATATTCAATGGAAAATTATATAAGCAATATCGTGGAAATATTATAAATATTATAAAAGCAATATCGTGGAAATTTTAAAGCATTTACGTTACAAAGATGCAATAAATCAAGTATCATTAATATTCAAATACATGCATTATTCATCTCTCTTTTACCGACTTTAACCTAAAAGAGTGATATGCATAATCCTTGAAAATGGTTTCACTAATTCAGATTAAGATAAAAACATGTTTTTTAAGCGAAATGGGTTCGCAGCAACGGTCTAGTGATGTTACTTCCACACGGATTCGATGGAGCAGCATCTGAACATTCCTCGTGTAGGATGGAGAGGTTTTTGCAGCTAACAGATAGTTCAGAGATAAGCCCAGACTCTGAAGCTGTGAACATGAACGTTGCAAATGCCACAACACCAGCTCAATACTTCCATTTGTTAAGGAGACAGGTTAATAAACTATACTAGCAGGACCTGACAATTAATGTATATTATATATAGAAAAACCTCGATAATTTTATAACAAATATTCCAGATGGTTCGAAACTACAGAAAACCGTTGGTTGTGGTTTCACCAAAAACTCTTCTGCGGTTGGCTGAAGCGACATCCAACTTGTCAGAATTCGCGCCCGGAACACACTTCAAGCCTGTTATTGGTGACCACACAAGCCTTTTACAATAACTTTTATTAATAAACTAGTTTATAACGTATTTCTTTAATGTTCAGGTGATCAAATTGCCGATCCATTGAAAGTGAAAAGGGTGTTTTTCGTCAGTGGCAAACATTATTACGAATTGCATAACGAACGGTTGAAAAATAAAATTGATGATGTCGCTATTGTGAGAGTAGAATTGCTTTGTCCTTTCCCCGTGCAGACAATACAAGCTGAATTGCAAAAATATACTAACGCTAGAAGTAAGTGTATTTTAATATTTAGTTTATATTTTAGGCAAACCTAATTCATATCCTTAGTAACATTTTGTAACAACATAATATAATTTAAATAATTCTTGTATTCATATTCGTATATGGTTTTTATAAAAGTTACTTTTTTAATCTCTACCATGAAAATGTATGTTAGCATGCCTTAAATGTTTTATTAATAAGTTCACATTTCTGTCGTAGCTTAAAGAGAATTATCCAAATAAAATATTCATGAAGCGGTTTTCGTGGCTGTAAATTTAAAATATAATAACTTTGTAAATTGAGTTTAAGATATATTTCGGCATAAATAATCTCAAATCTTTAGGACAAAGACTAAGTGATATATTATCTCCACAAAAAAATAACTTAAATACATTTAAAAATTTGTTCTGAATGAAAATTTATTTCGTCTTCATTCATAAGGATTAATATTAAAAATTCACGACGTTTTTTAAATACTTAATATCCATCGACTTTATACTCATGGCATTCTGAATATTTTCGTCGTTTTTTGAATTGGTTTAACTGAAAGCTTATGAATATGCAAAATTTCATGTAAATCCTATAACAGTATGTGCGTGAAAATTGAAATTTTATCTATGGCAGAACAAAAAATAAATTAAAATGTTTTGTTAGAGCCTCGATGGAAGTTTGTTTTATGTGTTGTCTAAACTCAGACACAACACCAAAGTATGTTATGTATATTTTTCTGCTATGATTATACATACACTGGTTAAAGACGTCATGTGAAACATTAATAATACTGGTTTATTCAGACACTTTATTATTTTTAGAATTCATATGGTGTCAGGAAGAACATAGGAATATGGGTGCATGGAGTTTCGTCAAACCACGCTTTGAAAATCTTGTCGGGAGAAAGGTGAGCAATGACATTATTATTTAACATTACTATCTTATACTTACAAAATAAGTTTGCAATGTCTCAATCCCGAGTGTTTTTGCTTCTAAACTTACTCCAGTACATTTTATTGTTTCGAAACTAATTGGTTATTTGGGAGAATACATAATATCAAAATCTACCATTTTTAAAAACAAAACAAGCAACAAACTTTAAAAAAATCTGTAAAATATCGCTTTGTAAGCTTTAATGGCCTTTGATGTCAACGCTCAAAGAAAACCAAACTATTGAATTTGCAATTCAAACCATTTGAAAAGTTTTGTACAAATATAAATAATATCTACAAAATAAATATCTAGAAAATAAATAAAGAACATGTTTTGTTATACAAAAAGGAAATCTTTTTCTTATGTTATTATATGTGTAACAATAGAGTTATACCTCTAAATATAATCCTAACAATGTGTATTTTATTCTTAGTTTCTCTTTATATTAACACATGTTTCTGCTAATGTATGAATGGGAGTATTGATCAAATTATGACATATTTCCAGCTCCTATACGCCGGTCGTCCTGAAGCACCAACAACAGCAGTGGGAGCACCTAAACTTTACAAAGTGGAAGTTGATTATATACTACGCCAACCATTTTTGACATAAAATAAAATACATTACAGAACAAACTCGTTACCAGTATAATTTTGTTAACACAATGGTTTTATTGTTGTCTATTTTGTAATCAACGTGCATTTCGTTGCAGCATTTATTTAATTTATAATGAAAATAAATTTTATCTTATTTAAAGATTAAAAAGCTGTAATTTTTATCATATTTTTTTTTTGTTTCCTATTAACCAAATCATATAATAACGAAAGTTACATTAAATGTAAAGTCTCTAAAAGTAGTGTATTGAGAATATCAACTATGTCGTGTTCCACATGGAAAGGTAACATCTGAAATAAAAGAAAAATTTAAGTCTTCTAATTGTTTAAATAGTATAAGACAAATTAAGTGGGTGAATTATAAATTCTCATTAATTCATTTGATAATGTTTAAGTACGTATGTTTAAATTTGATTATTTTTTGTTTTCAAATTATGTTGTAATCACTAAGCTGTAAAAATAAAAACTATATGAAATCTATTTTTAATTTAGTCATTAGGCTTTCATGAAAATATGCCTTTTCATTGAGTTATTATTTCATAAACAGGAAATTCTATCAGAATATCAAAATAATGTCGTAATCACGTCACGTTAAATACATAGTTTTATAAATTTTTTAATCAAAATTAAGAAACTAGAAGTTAATATAACAGCTTATATTTTCGGATGTAGGTACTACGTGTTTTTTATTATTTTAAACTATACATACTCCTGACGTTTCGCTTCCTTTGAAGCAATCGTCATTAAGACAATTTGAGTATATAAAATTATATAAGTAAGTAATTGTTAAAATTAATAAGCACTTTTAAAGTTCAGCCCAAAAAGAAATCCTTGCTAAACAAATCTTTAACGAATATTAAAAAAAGATAGGCCTTAAATACATATGTTGTATGTACATATGTTGTATGACACACATGAACCTTAATTTAAAAATATAAAGTAAAGAATATAAAATATAAATACCAGCTTGCGATCTTCCAACCGAGCTTAGGTTACTTTCAAAGTAAATAAAAGATACTGCTTAGAAGGCTTAAGTGACTAAGCTAATCTAATAGGTTGGGTCACGTAAATATCTTGGAACTAAAACTAAAACTTGGAATATTAATAAAGGATTAAACAGACTCTGTTGGTTCCTAAATACAGATAAAAAAAGTGTTTAATTTTATATCATTGCTATTTTGAAATAGAACCAAAATAAAAATTCAAGGAGTTTAGAGTAATCAATTGTAATCTGCTACTTGGTATTAGATTATCCAATTTTTTATAACAACAAAATAACTGGTCTGTTAGTATAATACAATTATAAACAATTCTGAATATTTATTTCATTGTTTTATATGACACGTCTGATTATTATTATTATATTTCATATATCTTATACCCGTAACTAATCAAAAAATGATAAATCCTATATATTGAATCTATTTTAGTAAAACAAACATTATATTAAATCTATATATCATGTTTTCCTGAGCTATAAACTATATTTAATGCAACCGTATTCGTTTCCAAGACTCCGCACAATATTCTTATTAAGTATAAGTTTGTGGGTCAATATACGTTATTTTGTTTACTTGGATTTCCACGAAAAAACGTTTAAGAAGTTAATTTTCAAAAATAACTTGTGTTTAAAACGTAGTTAAAATTATGTATAATTTTTTTTATTTGTACAATACGTTCGTTTTCGAAATACGTTCAAATAAGTTGAGTGACATTTTATCTATTGATAACAGTAGTTTTTGAAAAAAATAAAAGCTAACAAAATGTGTTTGATGTCTTAACTCAACTTTTGGAGTCGTTATTAAAGTCCATCTTCGGATCACACATACCAGGTTTGAGAGCGGACCACAAAAAAAACATACAAGACTACAGATAACAACCTTTTCAAAGCCAGATAAATCCGAGATTTACCATGCTTAAAAGGTGAAACCCACTGGCCAACAATATACGAGTATATCAAAAATCAAAGCTAGAAAATAAATCTATTTAGAATAAAAAAATAGCTGGAATTTACATACTTATTAAATTATGTAAGGAAACTTTTCTATACTTCCTACATAAAATGACTAGAGTTCAAATAAATTGAGTGATTTGAATCTTTTAATCAAAGATAGACAATAAATCGTTCTATGAACAAACCCGTGTCAAACTATATAAAACAAAAATAGATTGAGTTGACGACTTCTTAAACGGACGTAAATTGTACCTATTTTGCAAGAAAATACAGAACACAATATTTAATTACGACTCCATATAATAGTGTAATTCAAATCCTTATTTTCTTGTATGATGATGTACAACAGTTTATATTTTATACAACATGACCTAACAAATTACATTTACTTTATGTGGTGCTGTTAATAATAAATTATGATAATTGTTAAAATTATAATAACAAAAACAACAATTGATAATGAGAAAAATAAAAATTGTATGTTTTATTTTGATTCACGTTTGGTCATCTTGGAAAGCAGTAATACTGTTTTTGTATATATTTTTTCCCTATATCATATTCAGAATACTTCTTCAAATTCTTCTTCTATTATAAAATGCATGCAGTCTTACAAGTTAGATATTTTAAGTAGTAAACCAGTTATTAACATTATTTTTAAGTACCAAAACGGTTTACGATTGAAGTTAATATAAATTTTATTTACGCAGAATGAACTCAGATACGAGAAAAAAAAATTCTCCAACTCCTTGCTAAGTTAACGACGTTACAAACTTTACTTTTGTAATTATATTTCATCTTTATATTCCGTTATATTGTACATAGTATTACAGTCTAGTTACAATTAACTTCCTATTGAATTAAATCATACTGTTATAATGTTGTAATTTTTTACAACAGTTGTACTCTAAAGAAACATTCTTAATGAGTTATGTAAAATATTATAAACGAGTCCATTCAAAGTTCAAAATAATATAAAAGATAAATTTATCTCATGAATCAAGTGACCGAGAAAATATTTCAACAAAGTTTTCTATAAGAGTTTAAATTCGCATTCAAATCTTCTCATTTAAAAGGACTGAAGTTGCTTAGAGAAGCACTTTGATTAATAACACAAATTAATTTAATCACTTTTGTGAAAACTGATCTCCCGATATTTATATGAATTATTTAAGAGATAGGAGTTTAAAATTTTAATATTCTACTAATATACATTCCAACCTTATTTCCACAAGTGACAAATAACTGAATATCTATATAAATATAATCTCTTTATTTTCCTCGTTCATCGAACAACTTTTGTGTCTAAAACTATAAAACAGACATAGATTCAGAGACGGACATTTTATTTCAATGTTTTTCCTTTATGTCATTCAATATGAAGAAAATTATAAAGAAAGTTAAGTTTGCAAATACAATATATATGCCCTTTTAGCTAAATCGGTCAATAAAATAAATGTATACTCGTAGCAATCAGATTACCAAAAAAGACTATTTGGATATGCAGCTAAAGATTTTATTTACAATACTTCTTTGATCTTACCAAAGATTACCAAAGAAATACGAATACTAAACACATTTCCTTCGTAGAATCAATTTTGAAAACTTCTATGAATGCACTGAAGTAATTAATAAACATAATAACCTTTAATTAATTGTTCAAATATAAATTTCGCTTCAATCCACAGCTCCTTGTTCAATAGATTTAAATGCTACTAAGAATATTTTATCAAATTAATACATCAGAATATTTACATATACATACACCTTAGCTATATTGAGGCCCATGAAAGAACTTTGAGAAAACTCTATAAATAAATTTATAATTTGCTACTCATGAACATATATATGTACTCGTATATGCTATAAATATCACTGCGAGTAATTTTCATAGGCTATCAGTTTTTAACCCTTTGAAAAATTTCTTCATCATGAAGCCCTTCTAATTAAATCGATCCCCATGTATGACCATACAAGACTTAAGATCTCAAGGCTGGACACTGATATAAAAGCAAAGTAAATACATATATTCCCTCATTCTTAGCGAGTAGCTTATATAACACTAATGTCCTAATTACGTACCTTGTTTTGATTTTTTTAACGAGTCATTTATGGCCTTCTATATGTCAGGGTTGAATGGTCACATATTGTATTTTTTTTCATCAACTATTTAAGATGATCTTTGTGAAGATTATCCAAAGAACTTTTGATAGATGTCATGGCCTAAAGATACAAAAACTTGCAATATTTTAAAATTAGATATTGATATTGGTTTTGTGACGCCAAACTTCTGAATAGTTTTGATTAAATTTTATAAAATAAACATTGTTTTAAATTATTATTAAATGTTCAATTATTTTATAATTTATTAAAAAAGTTGTTGCATACAACTATTAGTAATAATTCATGTATAGAACGATTCCAGAACAATAACTTGAATAAAAATATACAAAGAGCATACGTAAAAGTAAATTTAAATTGAATTTTGAGCTGCAATGAATATTCCGATGTAGAATCAACATATGTGTAAGTTAAACAAAAATTTAAGAACGTTATGTTTTATATAAATGTATATATACATATATATCTATATATATATATATATATATATATATATATATATATATATATATATATATATATATATATCATTTTTAATATATTATTTTTCTTAAATTTATACAAATAAAGACGCGATCTGTATTTAGTTTACTTTTAGTACTCTTTATTTCGTAATCCTTTTATTGTTTTGCCCGACCGCTTTAATGTTATACATATAATGTTGTAAAACAAAACAAATAGTGACATTATTCCGTTTTATATCCAGCTAAACATAAATCCCATAATACTACATTATAAATATAAATAGAAAAGAGAGTTGTTTCTCGGCAAAACCAAAAATCTTCTGAACAATTTTACAAATAGTCGTCCGAATGTTAAGTGTTATTCTATCCCCTTGAGCTTCTTACTATTAGGATAGACGTTACTCGCATCACCTAAGGCGTCCTATCAGTTTTTAAAGGAAACCCTCCCACATTTCGTTATCCTGACCTCATTGTACACATGGGACCATCACTATATTGAACACAGAAACGAGAGTAAAAATCGTCGCTTTACGGGCTCTCTGAAAATGTGATTGTCATCGTCTTTTGTTTAAATACATAATATTTGCCTTAATGTTATAGATTCGTCATTAACTGCGTAAAATTTTTCAAGATGTGTACGTAAATCAGCTTATTTATCTTGTGAGAAGAGAAGATTTACAAAAATTAGAAGGTTTTCTATTCTGCTTTCGGGATTTTTATTATAAAAATGTAGACATAAAAATGCTTAAATGAAAGAATAACCTCTATATAAATTAAATACTGTGAAAAAAGTAAATTAAAAAAATTATATCAGAAACCTTGTTTAAAAATGTCAAAGAAATTTTTTTTCACTCTCCAACCGATACTTCGTTAAGGAACATTTTCCATTAAATTTCCCTTTAACTTTGTTTCAAACCAAAGCTCAAAGTCGCAGGTAAAACTTAGTTGAGTTATATATAAAGGCAATTACTGGTGATTGGTTTTGACCAAACTCTTTACAATGACTTAATTTTATGACCATGAAATTTGATACCAGTTTAAATTGTGTAATTAAGTTCCCTTATATAAAATAGACTGAAATATATATAGCATACAAAAATGTATTCGACGCAGTTTTATACAAATTCATATACTCCTAGCATGCTCTTTATGAATAGGTGCAAAATGAATAATGAAACTTATATTTTTGGATTATAATAAGCGTAATTTATTATTTTAAAAACTACATACTTACGACGTTTCGGTTATTTTTCAGCATAATCCGAAACATATTAGTTTCATTTAAAAGAATACTAACGAGTCTTAGATCTCATTATGCAAATGAATTATGTTCCCCTACCTCATGATGCCATCTTCAAATTAAGTGGAGTTTATTGTAGTTTATTATTCATAAATCAAATTACATTATTCTTGTCGCTAATAATGAAACTTAACGAGGTATTATCGAAATGCTTTGTAAATAATACTTAATATCAAACACAAAAAAAAATGTACATACATATGTACCTATAACGACTTGCAAACCTTGTTTTAAGAAGTAAGTAACAATTTAAAAATAGATAATAGGTAAAACACGCGTTTATAGCTAACCGCACAAAAAAATAGAAAACAATTTTTCAATTACAAAGAAATTATTTTTATTCAGAGTAAAAAGCCTGGGGTGCATTTGCCTACATTTCATATCTTTCCTTTCATAGATATGTAGTTGCCCCTAAATTGATTGTAACATTTAATATAAAACAATGTAATATTGACAAAATTTTACAACAACTTTCATTAAACCTTAATAATTAAAGGTGGTTTTAAACAAGTTTGAGCAAGAATATTGCCATCAGATCATTCGCCTATTAGAGCCCACTGCTGCGCAAAGGCCTCTTTCTCACATGGAGAAGGTTTGAGCATTAATCACCACGCTTGCTCAAGACGGGTTGGTGATTTCAAACTTATAATTGTGGGAATTATAAGTCCAGGTTTCCTCACGATGTTTTCCTTCACCGTCTGTCAGTGGTGTCTAAACACTCTAAGAAAGTACAAACATATGACTCGAAACAATCACATTGGTACTTGCCAGAATCGAACCCGCACCCTCAGCAACGAGAGCCGGGCCCTTTGACCACTACGCCACCACTGACTTCTAATGTTGCTATAAAAATACTTCTAATGTTGCTATAAAAATACTTACATAATTTAATGAGATAGATATTTTTCACTAAAAATAAATATAATCTTGATGATTACTGTTACTATATTATACTGTCGTGCGACGTCATGACGTCAGTGTAATATATTATAACGATTAATATCGTCTTGTCATGTTAGAGATATCTCTTCCTTTTGTCCATGCACCTCCACGTATCTATTACTATCTAGTAACTATTATCATTTGTTATAAATACTAATGAATTTCTATGGTTACGACTAATGCAAATAATTTAAGCAAAATGAAAAAACTCTAAATTTGATTGAGGAGATCCTAGCAAACTATATCGGAAGTCTGTGATCTCTTCGAACAACTTTCAGACAACTAATATTTATTTCGAAAATGCTTGACACAGAGTTCGAAAAGTTAGGGCTAAGATTAAAATACAAAAGCCAATAATAAATGCAGTCAAATTTCCTAACTACAAGAACAGATCTCTTGATTTTAATAAATCTAAAAACAGAAATATTGGAAAAAGTTTTTTTATATGTGAATGAAATCAATAATACCGTCTTTAAATTATGACAAGAAGCAGTAGGGTTACACTTACGGTACATACAAATATATATTACTCATTTATAATTTAAAAAAAACAAACTGTAACTCTGTGCAATATATTCTCTGTTGAAACATCTGTATGAATACTTACCTAGGTCTAACAGCGTACAAAGTTTCTGACATTATACAAAGCTCATATTACAAGGATTATGCATGTTGTAAGCTGTGAACTCATTTAACTTGTATCATTAAGATCTACTTCACTTGACACTATTGTATAGTTTAGATGGTTGTTTCAACATTTATAGATTGAAATAATTACGAACACGTTAATTGGATTTTGCTATAACAAGGGATGAGAATAAAAACTATGATTTCAAAAATTCTTAGACTTAATATTTAGAGAGTTGAGTCTTCAAAAATATATATTTTACCCATCACTTCCCAATATTAAAATAATATAAAGTCGAATAAAAATAGAAATTCCTCTACTCTTCTGTGTACTTAAAAAGGCTTTGACTTGGGATTTCTTACAAAGAAAATATCAATGCAAAAGCGGAAGGAAAATAGTCAACGGGAAACTCGAACGCTTCGCATTGAAACCCCAGGGTTAATTCCGCCTTCAATAAAGGCTTGTTTGGGCTTTGACTTATATCCTTCCCTGTATTTCAGGTCAGAATATATGTATTTAGTATAGAAAAATTATTTTAAACCTGCCCTGAATAAATATATTTACAGATCAATGAATACAAAAATTAATTCAACATCAATAATTGTATTATAAGTTTAACAGCTGAATGGTTGAATAAGTCGTTGTAAACCGTTGAACATTTTATATGTTTCTTTATTTCTTAAAAGCTAGGATGGATACAAAAATGTTTTATAAAATTTTTTAAGTTTATATTTAAATACAAATTCGGTAAGACTCTTCTTCACAGTCATTGTTATCACAATGTAACTTGAAATCGGTTTTAAATCTAGTCGTTTATAAACCTTATCTTAAACATTCAATTCAGCTGTTCTCAGACAATTCTTGAGACCACATTTCTTTATATGTAACTTTTATTTTATATTATTTATCTACAAGTTGTTTAACTGGAAACTTCGTTTTCAAATCAATTTATTTTTAAGGCCTTTGTATATTTATATGTTAGGATACATAACAATCTAGTAAAATTTTCCGCCCTTAATGTAAATTGTTCTTGTGCCACGAACTGGAAAATAGTAAAAGTTAGATTAATTCCATTATTCATTCCCTAATTCTAAGTGGCATTACACGAAAAGTTATTTAGGAGTACCTAAAATATAGAATGTTATTTTAAAGCGTCAAAATCGTATAACCTAATTTTAAGGAAATATACACAAGTGCACAAAAAAATTAATCACAAACTATAAAAAAATATAAATCATTATTCAAAACTATGTTTCTTCTGACACCGTAGTAGGATTACATTAAGGTATCATTGGAATGGTAACTATGGAAACAACTGCTAATGTCTGTATGATCAATACTATTGAGTAACAGAACAAGAACAGAAAACTTGATTTAACAGACCGAATGGCTGGTAAGGGTAAAGGAAAGAAAAAGGAAAAGAAGGACAAAGAAGAGAGTGGAGATAAGAAGAAATCGAAGAAGGGCGGTGGTAGAGCAAAGAAGGGAAAAGCTAAAGGAAGATGCAACGTCGACATGCTAACAGATTCAGCGATGGATAACGTTTATTACGCTTGTCATAACGTTCAAGAATTATTACAAGCAAGAGGATTCCATCCACCGGATTTTAATAAGAAAAAGAAGAAAGGAAAACGTTGAAACAGAAGATCCAATTGCTTCGAAGCTTTGTTTTAATATTAATCTCTACTGGTTTGTGCTTGTAAGAAATAATTGAGTAATATTTGGCTACTTCCATTTTCCTATCTATGGTGAAACCATTACTTCGAATACAACACTAAAACCTATTTCTTGTAGTATCAATGTGAGCCAAAGAAATAAACTTTGACTATAAATCGCATCTTAAAGCGGAATCTAAACTTGTTTCTAGCCGTAGGAACTCGCTTTCCCGAAGCTATTTGAGACTAGAGTAGAATTTATTAGGGGTGTAAATGTTTATTGTTGACTTTTGTGTATCTCGAAAGAATCATTTGTGTTTAAGAGTTTAAAACGTTGGGTAAGTTTTTATTCATGTTTAGAGATAATTTTTAATTCATATAATCAACCTCAAAATTTACTGGTTATATCTCGATACTTAATAATCTTTTTTACCGTAGCATTAATAATATTGAATAGAACATTTCATGTCATCATGACCCAAGAGATATCAAACTTGTTTTGTTCAATAACTAATATAAACCTATATAAAAAATCAGTACTCAATTATAATACCTGTCTCATACATGTGCCACCCAATTTTATACTAAACTATGTAGCTGACCCGGCGAGCTTCGTACCGCCCTATAATCAAGAAATATCTGTTACTTTTTTAATTGAATGAAGTTAATTTCTTTATTAAGTATAACTGACCCGACAGACAATGTTCTGTCTTCATAACTGTGATTATTCTAACTACGTGAATATTACTGCGAGAGATACATTATTTAAGTAAAAAAATGAAATAATCTAATATTTTTTTCTAGAAATTTTGGTAATTTTGTTTACATAAGAAGCTTCTCCTAATAATAACAAATACAACAAAAAAGAATTAGTGAAATCGGTCCAGCCATTTACGCGTATTGCCCTGACCAAAGGAAAAATGGATTCATTTATATGTATATACTAGAAGACCCGGCGAACTTCGTATCGCCCTATAATCAAGAAATATCTGTTAGGTTTTTTTTTACATTTTTAGAGTTTACCTATTAAAGCCATAAATCTTCGTGTTTTGAAGAGCGACAGAATGATTGACATATTAGTTAGTTGTAAAATCTAATGTCAAAAAAACGTTTGTATCAACAACTACTAATAAATTAAAAATGAATTAAAAAAACATTGCCCATCGGACAAAATTGTGAATCTAAACCATCCTCAGATCCCCTTGAACACACACAAAAACTTTCATCAAAATCGGTCCAGTCGTTTGAGAGAAGTTCAGTGACATACACACTCTCAGAAGAATTATATATACATATAAATTACAGAAGAAGAAGGTTACATATTAAATATCATTAAAGCATCATTTAAGTACTTATTATTAACATAATTTTGTTGGTCTATTAATTTCATTTATGTATTTAATTATAATTTCATTTATATTAAATATTTTTTTATTTATTACCGAAACAAGTTGTTAGCATAACCTGGAGTATTAACATTCTGTAAAAGCTATTTTGTCCATTGGCCATTACACTGAAAACAAAAAGTTTGACATTCATTGTCACTTTCAGTCGCCATAATTTTTCAATAACAGTTTAAAAGAAAATGTGACCTTTATAAAAATGTCTCCAACAAATATAAAACAGTTACTTAAAACTACAAATATAATAAGGTAAGTAAATTTTTACATACAAACGAACAAACCGATAGCGAAATTGTATATAAATCATATTTAAATAAACGTGAATTGAAAAACTGATGTATCTTAGATTCAAAATAACATTTTTTATCTTAAATATACTTAAAAATCTTGTTTAACCTGAAAGAAAGACGTTTACAGACGTAGAGTTAAAAGAAGCAAATTTACTTTATACCCCTTGTATGCATATCAAACAGCTTGTTAGTCAATTTGCTATTCAAAAACATCGTCGTGTGGACATGGGTTGTTTAAATTAAATATAACATATTTTTTATTTTAGAAACAGAAGAATTTCTGTAGATTAACTTCATTAAAATGTTATTTTTATTAATCATGTTCAAAGACATTATAAAGAAATCGCGTGCTACTAGATATGTTCAAATATATTTTCATTTTGTCCTCAGCCTTCACTACAGCATAAGAAACATTTCGAAATGCCGAATATTTATAAATTCTTAAGTTAATTTTGAATATATTTTTTAATAAATATAAATCTCCAAATTAACCATGGTCGTCCAAGCGGTAGGTATAGATCTCGGCACAACTTTTTCTTGTGTCGGGGTCTTTCAACATGGAAAGGTGGAGATCATAGCCAACGAACAAGGAAATAGAACTACTCCTTCATACGTTGCTTTCAACGACACTGAAAGACTTATCGGCGATTCGGCAAAAAATCAGGTACCTATTAATAACCTGCGATATATTACATGTTATATGTAATGATAGCCATTAAAAGTTATGGTCCTATGCATAATTATTATTTTTTAATACCCTTTTTTGGTAACATAATAATTATTGGACTTTGTTTTATGTTTTCGCTGTATTATTTCTACATTATGTAAAATGAGCTAGGAGATCAAATTCAGAGTAAAATATCCCCCACAGTAATATATTTTTTATATTCCAGATAGCAATGAACCCTAAAAACACTGTATTCGATGCTAAACGTTTAATCGGGAGGAAATTTAATGACCCTAAAATACAGCAGGATATGAGACTCTGGCCATTTGAGGTAATATCAGATGGGGGGAACCCAAAGATTGTTGTTGAATACAAAGGAGAGAAACGCAGATTCACTCCGGAAGAAATTTCTTCCATGGTTCTGTCAAAAATGAAGGAAATAGCTGAAACATATCTCGGGGGTATTGTCAAAGATGCTGTGATAACCGTCCCAGCATATTTCAATGACGCACAACGACAAGCAACAAAAGATGCTGGAGCTATAGCCGCACTTAATGTTCTTAGAATTATTAACGAACCTACGGCCGCTGCACTTGCCTATGGTCTAGATAAAGAACTGAAAGGAGAAAAGAACGTCCTCATATTCGACCTTGGTGGAGGAACATTTGACGTGTCCATTCTTCAGATTTCTGAGGGATCGTTATTTGAAGTTAGTTCTACAGCTGGCGATACTCATTTGGGAGGGGAAGATTTCGATTGCCGAATGGTTGATCATTTTTGTCAGGAATTTGAAAGAAAGTACAAGAAAGATATTAAATCTAATCCAAAAGCTTTGAGAAGGTTAAGAACTGCTTGCGAGAGAGCTAAACGAACATTGTCCTCGAATACCGAAGCTAGTTTAGAAGTAGACGCTTTACATGAAGGAATCGATTTTTATTCTAAGATCACAAGAGCACGCTTCGAAGAACTTTGTTCAGATTTATTCAGACAAACTTTAGGTCCAGTGGACAGAGCACTTAAAGATGCTGGATTAAACACGAGAGAAATACACGATGTGGTCATGGTCGGTGGTTCTACAAGAATTCCAAAAATACAAAGATTACTGCAGGTAAGATTGGTCAAATACATTACATCTATAGTGACTACTTTATTAATGTCAAATATGTTTATTAATAAGAATATTATTTTCTAGGATTTCTTTAGTGGAAAAGTGTTGAATCTATCGATTAATCCCGATGAAGCTGTTGCCTATGGTGCAGCTGTGCAAGCAGCTATTCTTACAGGTTCAAAAGACACTCGTATCCAGGACGTCTTGCTAGTGGATATCACACCGCTATCTCTAGGAATAGAGACGGCAGGAGGAATTATGACGAAACTAGTTGAGAGAAATACAAGGATACCGATAGCACAAAAAAAGATATTTACAACATATTCTGATAACCAACCCGCTGTTACCATACAAGTAATAAGAAATAATATATTTGCGATCAATTTAAATTTTCAAAAATTGTAGATAGTCATTAAACATGAAATTATTAATTCACAGGTTTTTGAAGGAGAAAGGGCGTTGACAAAAGATAATAATTTATTGGGTGTCTTCAACTTAACGGGCATTCCACCAGCGCCTAGAGGAGTACCGCAAGTTGAAGTAAATGAATATATCATATTAAATTAAACTAATTTGAATTATACTAAATAACCTGATTTTTTTCAGGTAACTTTCGACATAGATGCCAATGGCATTCTTAGCGTGAGTGCTCAAGATAGAAGTACTGGCAGATCAGAACAGATTACAATATCAAATGACAGGGGCCGTCTTAATAAAAAGGAGATTGATAAGATGTTGCAGGATGCAGAAAAGTTTAAAGCGGAAGATGAAATGGTGCGGAAGAAAGTTGAAGTTAGAAATCAATTGGAGGCTTACCTTTTTGGATGTAAAACGGTATTTATTAGTTATTTGAAAATACTGTATCATTAAGTACGTCGTAGTCCAATATTGTATATGGATAAATATGGAAAAACGATAACACTATTATTATACTTTAATGATTCTAATATTTATTTTGCGTAACTACATATATGTACCATGTTAATTTCATGGTCCCACCATATTTATCATTTGCATTGTAAATATAAACTCAGTATTGAACTATGATAAAACTCCTCTCAGGAGGGAAATAAGGCGGAAAGCCAATTTTTTTTATAAGTACAATCTTTTTTCCTAGTTAGTATATATAGTTAGATAGCCTCGAATAGACAGATAGCCCTAAATCCTGGTAAAATAAAGCTCACAGTAATCATTACAATATCTCAACCAATGATCATAAAAAAATCTTTGTGACAATAGCATATATAGAGAAAAAAATTAGTAGCAAGAACTTAGATGCTTTATTAGTAACATTCCTCGTGTCCCAATTCCTCAGGCAGCTGAAAGCGCTGGCACCAGATTGACTGATGAGGAAAAAGAAGCTGTTATTACTGAATGTGACAATCAATTGATCTGGCTGGAAATTAACGGAAACGCGTCATTGGCGGAATTAGAAAACCATCTGAAGTCAGCTCAAGCTGTCTGCCAATCAGCGATGCTGAAATTACACGCCGGTGGTCCAAGTTACGGGAGACCAGTCAGTTCAGGCGGACCAAGAGTTGAGGAGGTAGATTGAGGAAATGAATTTAAAGAATTATATATCTGCCAAATTGATAATCCTCATGTGTGGTCCAAGTTATGGAAGACGATCCAGTTCTAAACTATCGAGAGTAGAGGTAAACGATGCAAAGAATTGAAGAAAATATATATACATATACATATAATGGTCATGTAAAATTATAAAAGTTTCACTATAAACCATTATCAATAAAAGACAATATATTTAAAACATTTTATTCCAAAAATAGACCTCTGAATATCAATAGAATCTAAATAAATTATTTAATGATAAAAAAGAATATCGTTCAGATAACAGTTTTATGGAATGATGGGAACAATAGAATATAATATATCATAAGAATCAAAACTATTGCTGGGTTTTTTACTTAAAACCTCTAGTTTTTCTGGTCTCGTCTTGATATTAAAATAAATGCTCTATTAATTGTTCCGTAGCTTATATACTACACTTAACCGAATGGTTGACTTTCACCCTTAACTAGTTTGTGCATATGACTACCCAAATAAAAAACTACCCGATAATTAAATAATAGGAAGTCTGTGTTGCTATGTAGCTATAAATAATATTATACATATAAAACCTTTTTCCTCTGAGTAACCGACTAGCCTTACATATCACCTAAACGTTACTCTAACATAAGGCGAATCATCTTAAAACTATTTTGTCATTTAAATGCGTTTGATACATAACAATATCTTGTCCAGTCAAGTATAAAATAATTTAAAAGACTATTATAAGAGAATATGTCAACAAATATTGGTTATGATTGATAAATATTGATAGAACCAGCTAACAGAGATACCTCGACAATAAGGCCTTTACACAATAGCATTAACCATCACTTTTTTTAAAGTTTCAGGTTAAAGAACATATAAATGTATGCCATATATAACTTGACCCCTCAAAAGATTAATGATGTCTTAAGACTAAGGCCATCTTAAACTGGATTAGTTTAAACAATGTAATATAATATAATTTAAAGTCTACATAAATTTAAGCATCCTCTGTATAAACGCGGCTTGAATCTCGTCGGCTCTGAAACAAAGAGAAAACATTTATATGTATTTAAATAATGAAAAATTTATAAAATTTTAAAAACCCCTTACGCATAATTAATTGGGTAAAGAGTTATGATAGATGAAAATTGCCTAACATTATTTTGGGAAAGATCTGGACCGATATTAACCAAACATATCTAAGAGCCTTTCAAATGGAAAAATCCCTATCGATATAGGCCTATCCGTTTAAGAGCTACATTGTCACGGACACACACATAGACGTCAAACTTATAACACCCCTCTTTTTGCATGGAGACCTTAAAATATACTTTCATAATAAAATATAAAACTAGTTAGATGATAAATGAAATTAAACGAAAATAAATCTTATTAAAAAGATAGTGTTAAATAATTTTTCATACAATGGCATTTTTATAAATATCTATAACAATTACTATAATGACAACACGCAAACAGGAAAATAAATATGACGTCATATTAATTTACGTGATTCGTAACAAATACAAATACCATAAGGTAAATGAACGGAAAAAATATAATTATTATTACATACATAAAGGAAAATGTGTAGCTGTTATATATGGGCATTTATATATACATATATGTATATAATTCAATACACTAGAAAACTTCATACAAAAACTCAGATTCGAACCCGGGGCAATTCACCAATCTATGTATACAGGGTGACTGGTGAATTACTATCGATACTTGAGGATGTGATATTTGACGATCATATATGACAAAATAAAAATTAATATAACATAAATATTAATAAACTTCTAAGTAAAGTTAACCAAAAGTTGTGTAATTAATTACGCATCGTATGAACACCCTACAGATTAGGTATACACTCACACTCACACATACGCGGACGGCGGCGTAGTGTTGTATCAGCACGCCGCCGCACGCTTCCACACTAGGAACACTTGGAACGTGTCAACACTTAATTTATTTATACGGAAATTTTTTCAAAAATTAAGTGCCTATTTTTTTTACATAATTCGAATGAGAATCATGTACCGAGTATTCTCCTTAAATATTGATAGTAATTCACCAGTCACCCTGTATATATAAAATAGACTTGCTGTTCGTTAGTTTCACTAAAACTCCAGAAGGGCTTAACGGATTTATCTTATCTTAGTCTTGAAATATTTGTGGAGGTTCAGGGAAGGTTTAAAAGCTGAAAAAAATGATTAATTTCCGGAAAAACCCTAAAAACAGCCCTTTTCTATTTCCCATACAAACGTTTTCTTTGACATTAGATTTAACAACTAACTAATAAGTCAATCATTCTGTTGTTCGCTTGAAACACGAAAAACATTATTTGTGGACTCTAAGACGGTATAGACTTCGCTCGGTCAGCTATACGTATATTACTCATGACGAAACGAACACGGAAAAAGTCGCGGGCAAAAACTAATACACAATTAAAACTCACTTATTGCTTGTGACCGTGTGCATCAAATTCACTATGTACTTTGGGCAAACGTCTTCATGCATCACTCTAGCATGAAACAGGAGTCCTTGGCACAAACAGTATAGGATCTCAATCAATGGCCAATTCTCTGGTATTTTTCCTTTTTGGTACAGCCATGAGAAGAGTATCTGTAATACACCATAATACAAATAAATACCACATACGATAATAAATTCCAGACGTAATAATGAATAGCAAAATCAGAACAAAGAATTGAAATATTTTTTGCTTATTCTTGGGACTATTTAATATTTTGAACTTTATTGTTAGTGTAATAGGGTCTATATTCACCTGTAGCGATGAGGTGACAGGCGCCAATGATATCGGAGTAGATGGTGATGCCCTGAACGCGGCGCCAGCAAGGAAACCAGCCGGGAGAGCATATAGTGCGCTGTCCCTGCCGTTCGCACGACATAGAAGACATATCACTAACTGGAAGTAAATAGAATTATAATAAGAAAAATGCCATACATTTGCATAGGAAATATTGAATATTCCATTGTCAAAAAACAATATAAAACCAGCATAAAATGATATATAAGTACAAATTTGTACAAAGAATTAAAATCTCCGTAGACATAAAATCTGTTTACGAACAGAGAGCAGAGTTCAAGGAGCGTATTAATATTGTTCTAGTATCAAACAATGTATGAGAAACTATTTTTAAATAAGCACCGCTCTATCTAAGGTCATTAGAAACATTAAAATGTTAGTTTTATACTCGTAATATTCTCGTCTCAATAACTGTCCTACAATAGAGTCATGTTAAACACACCCTGTATATTCCTATATATCCACCAAAGAACAGGCCGAGCTTCAGATGTGACAGCTTCAAAGATTTCAAAGCCTTCGTTGGGGTCAATAGCCTTGGTATGATTGTACGTAGCGCCGTCATGAGACATCCGACGCCAAACAGCTGAGCTGCACCCTGTATAATGTATAAATATTTGTATAACTATAGTTTGGATTATGTTATGAGTAAATTTTCCACACTTATATGATTCCTTACTATATCATTAACATATAAGAAAACAAAGAAATAAAAACCTCTTAAAGCGTTACGTCTTAAAATTGTTAAGTCAAAGGTAACATTATTTATTATGTACTGTAAATTTTTATATATTTCATCCTCCATATTTTATAAGAACCTACCTAAGTAAAACAAACTAAAAATACAGACTGGAATATTTATTTAAGTTCAAATATAGCTAGACTAGAATAATAATAAAAAACAAGTCGTGCAATTTTTATGAAGTTATAATATATCGCATAATCATATTGAAGCACGTTCGTTAGATTACAAGACCTATCCAATTACAGTAAATTATTCAGAATAATTTATTAATATTTAAAATATTATTATAACTCTACTAAAATTTTAATTAAAGACACCATTGTTATTTTAAAACCCAATTATGATGACATCATACTTTAATTTTCCTCTTCGAAAAACCGGTTGTAACGGTTTTTCTGCCAATGAAGAACATCGCTGGACGTTCGTAAAGCTTATCCTCAGTCAATACCCACTGAGTAATTATGACGTTTTAGTTGCATTTTAAGAGTACTCTTTTTGGGTAGCTTTTATAAATACAAAGTAAATGTTTACAAATAAAGACTAAGTTTCTTTCTTGGCACGTTAATGACCATAATTATAAAAAGCAGTTTGTCTTGTGTGTTTGTTTTTGTGTCATATAATAAATGTATTAATTATTATTAATATATAAAATATGGATCAATAATTGAAACTTGAGATTGAATGACTATTTTCTCTTAGAATTTAGGAAGCAAGACGAAGTAATACAATTGACATAGAATAGAAGTTGGCGGCAAATTACGACTTCGGATAAACAACAAACTTTAAATAATTATCGATAGGTAGTCAACCCTTCAACCAACAAATGGTGACTTCAACCATTCAAACGAAGACCGTCGTTACATCCATTACATCAAAAACTAAACGCCTTTTAAATAATCACAGATTTTAAACAATTTACGCAGCGATATCTTCTATATATATAAAAATGGATTGCTGTTCCTTAGTCTCGCTAAAACTCGAGAACGGCTGAACAGATTTGGCTAATTTTAGTCTTGAAATACTCCTGGAAGTCCAGGGAAGGTTTAAAAGGTGAGAAAAATTGGAATAATTGCCGAGAAAACCCTAAAAACAGACCTTTTCTATTTCCCATACAAACGTGTTTTTTTTGACATTAGATTTGACAACTAACTAATATGTCAATCATTCTGTTTGATTGAAACAGGAAAAACCTGATTATTTATGGCCTCTAAAACGGAATAGAGTTCGCCTGGTCAGCTATACCTACATATATTACTCTTGACCAAACTAACGCGGACGAAGTCGCGTGCAAAAACTAGTTGACAATATATTTAAAAATTTTTTTGTTTACACTTATATGCGGACTATGAAAAATGCTTGTGAACCTATTCATTTTTAATGTTATTATACTAAGTGATCCCAATAAAAAAAGAAGGAAAATTTGTAACCTTTGACTTTTAACCATAAAAAATACAATATTAAAATCTAAACAACATTTTTATACAAACTTGATCCTTGTAAAAGCTGCCATTTTCAGTTTTGACATTTCATTTTGTTAGATTTAACTTCAAACCTACATTTTAAATTTCCAACCGTTGGTTCGTTTTGTACTTTTTTAAGTAAATATTATTTACTGCAATTTAATATAACATGTTTAAGAATTTATTATTTCCTATACCTATATTGGTAAAACTCAACGAATAGATTACGAAATAGGTTATAACAGTTAAAGTAACGGGTATTTATTTTTACTGTTTTTTTATTTTTCTTTAGGTCTTATATTATGCCGCGTAGTTTTAATGGAAGTAAGATATATAATTAGTTAATCTATAGTATATTTAACTTTGAGTTTTAATTATATTAAGGAGGACTTTTATAGTTTTGCATGGCTGAATGAGAATGCGAGCCCGTAGCGCTTATGATAATGAAAGGTACCGAAGTTTTGGTGAGTGAGAGGTAGTTATAAAACCTTTACCAGATTAAAAAATGCCTTATATAATGTACGAAAAATTACAGTTAATACAAATGTTATTTACGTAACTTTGATGACAAATAACGGTGCTTTCGTGGACTCGAAAAGACCTTATATCAATATTTTTAATTATTAGTTTTTTTTTCTTATTTAGTGTAGCTTGCTACATTTGGACTTTTTTTGTAATATTAAATGTATAGCATAGTAACATTCTTAGCTAATTATGTTGTAAATTCACACTGTTATATCTTTCCTTATAATATTTGCTTTTGAATTTGATTTATCAAACTATGAATCAATATTTTTCTTATCTTCAACTTCAATATTTAACTTTATAAATATACTAGAAGACCCGGCGAACTTCGTATCGCCCTATAATCAAGAAATATCTGTTACGTTTTTTTATTTATATAAGTGCAACAGAATGATTGACATATTAAGTTAGTTGTCAAATCTAATGTCAAAAAAAAAGTTTGTATCAACAACTACTGATAAATTAAAAAATAATAAAAAAAACATTATCCAGCGGACGAAATTGTGAATCTAAACAATTCCCAGATGCCCTTGAACACACAAAAAAAAATTATCAAAATCGGTCCAGTCGTTTGAGAGAAGTTCAGTGACATACACACTCACAGAAGAATTATATATATAAAGATTGAGCACATTAAAATAGACACATTCGGTGAAAGTTACTTCTTTATAGCTAATCATGTAGTTGTTTTCTTAAAACTAAGCTTCTTATAAACTACTTATTATAAAGTATTTATTTAGTTAAAATCTTACTAAAGTTATTTCGTAATACTGACCCTAAAAACATAATTCATACAAGGTCCTCTGTGAGGGCAGGCCGCACTCCTACCTTCAACACCAGGAACAGGTTCACCAACCTCTTTTGACACTCGGGGTGGTGTAAAGAACCTACAATGGAATTTTTATTATCATTCAATAGTATATGCATAATACAGAACGGCAAAAATCTGTCATAAAAAACGGATCATGCCTCTTGTTTCATATACTTTTGTTAAGATATTATTTGTCATGTACCAATATTATCATGTACTTTTTAAACTTATCACAAACTTCTATATATTAATAAATATTTCAACATTAAATTTACCAGAATAATGGTGTTCGTTTATTGTTCTCTCTTTCCAATCTCATGAGATAGAATAAGATGGCGCTACCAAACATAAATATGAGTGTCTCTCTACTGACAGACCTCTTGAGCCACCCTTTCATTTCTAATGTCCTTTGCCAGTATTCAAAGACCTGTCAACATTTATATCAAATCACATAGCTATTCATACAATTTGTGTTACCTTACACACATTTTACTATGATGTTAAAAACATGTAAGATTCTCATGAGTATTCATTAAATATTTAATATTCATATAAGGAGACTTGAAACATCTCTTCTGCCTGTGATCACAATTACTGCAAAGTAACTAAAATTTGGGGAATGTGGAATTAATAATAAAATAATGTGTAGTATTCAGAAAATATTAGTTCTATATAAATGTTAAAACCAACTAACCAGATTAACAAATAGGTTGACAACCAAAACTCTCCTATGAGGGGGCTCTAAATACACCGCAACCCCACTCACGGTACATGGTAGTAGAACAGTTGTGTAATAATTAAACTGACTGAAGAATAATTTCCTGAAGAAAACATACACATACATAGTTAATTATATATATATAATATATATATATATATATATATATATATATATATATATATATATATATATATATATATATATATATATATATATATACAGGGTGACTGGTGAATTACTATCGATATTTGAGGACGTGATATTTGACGATCATATATGACAAAATAAAAATTAATATAACATAAATATTAATAAACTTCTGAGTAAAGTTAACCAAAAGTTATGTAATTAATTACGCATCGTGTGAACACCCTACAGATTAGGTATACACACACACTCACACATACGCGTGTCGTGACGTGGTGTTGTATCAGCACGCCGCCGCACGCGTCCACACTTGAACATTTGGAACGTGTCAACACTTTACTTATTTATATGGAAATTTTGTCAAAAATTAAGTGCCTATTTTTTTTACATAATTCGAATGAGAATCATGTACCGAGTATTCTCCTTAAATATTGATAGTAATTCACCAGTCACCCTGTATATATATATATATATATACATATTTATATGCAATTATAAAGCTATATCTCAGATAAAACACAGGAAAATAAGACAAGAATGTCTATAACCTTCATATAGGTAATTAAGTAAAATTTTTTATACCTTAAACAATAATATACTCACCTAAATATACAATTCAATGTCACAAATGAACTTCCAACACTGAGGCCAAATATACCAGATTTTAAATACAATTTGAACTGTTCTTTCATTTCCTTTTTACCGAGTTTTTTACCTCTCATTAATATTTGTATCTGAAACAATGTTATGAAAACTTTTATCTGTTGTAAATTTACTATATGTATTTTAATATTACTAAAATGATAACATGGAGAAAAGAAATATTGTGCTTTAGATTTTTTGTTAAAAAAACTGATAATTGAGTTACTTATATATATTCTAAAACATATTCAATCAATAACCTCATTGCATATATGCATCTTCACACTATATATAAAGTTTCTAATATTTTATCTGTAAATCTTTGTACATGATAGCTTCAACATAGTTTTATTAATGAAAAACTATATATTCTTTATGTTAATTACAACAATGTACACACTTGTCTTAAGTCCATTTTTATATTTTGTGGGAATATTTTTTTCTATATTAAATACAATATACAATAATTTGTGTGAATTTTTTGTTCAGGTTAAAGACAATGTGGTTTTATTTTTAAGTTGATTACATTACATTTGTATTTTAATTATTTACTTCATTATAGGTGTTTGAGAATTTTATAAAAGATAAAATGATAATTTGAGTGCTATCAATTGATAACTGTATGTGTATCAAAAATATGTTGATATAATCTTTATGCTCTTTATATAAAGGAATTTAATTGTAAATACAGAAATAAAAACTATGAAGCTGATTGAGGGAACATAACAGAAATAAAAATGAAAAAGACTGTTGTCAATAACATGAGGAAAGGACTTAGAACATTAAAAATTATTTAAGACTTTAACCAAACAGAAAATTTAAAATTAAAAGTGAAAGTGAATATAAAGACAAGTTTTGGAATTACATAATTACTTACGAGATAAACCATTGCATAAAATTTATAACTCCCTTTTATACAACTGAGTAACATTGTTGTTGTAGCATCACTACATTTAGGAGTCCATGGGTGTATTAAAACATTGCAAGGAGCACTACTACAGGCCTGCTCAAACCAGAACTTGCTAGCTTCGACCATTTTTGTGAAATATTAATTCTATTTTAAATATCAACTGCGCTATAAGTACGAATTCATCAATTATTTTTAAAATAAAAAAGTCACAAATAATGAATTTTCACAAACACAATGTATAGTAGAACTTTTTCGTAAACTAAGATATTTTAAATATCAAGTTGAGGATGCTAATATTTATTTTCTTAAGCACAATACCACAAGTAGCCACTGTGCACTGCACTATGATTTTTCAGGCACTCAATAATATGAATAACCTGGCGAGACATTGACAAACAATAAATGAATAATGACAGTGACAATTAGCACAAAGTATGTGTTGTTGCCATATTTATTTAGCGAAAAGTATTACAAAGAATAATAGGAGTTTTCTTATGTTCGTAAACTTATATCGATCATCTTTCATACATAATGAAAGATTATTTATAGACAAATTATACGTAATGCTGGCTTGGTTATTGACGCTTCCAACTCAGTCAACCAATTTGCCTTTGATGTGCCTTATTACAAAATAGTTCCAATGGTTCATAGTTCACTTCTCGAAATAGTGTGATAAGCTCTTTAATACAATGTATATTTTAAAGATGTGAAGAATCACCGAGAATAGTGCCTTGCAGAATTAACAATAGATTTCAAGCTTCAGATCGCGTCTGTAATGGAACATTACCAATACATTGGACTTTAAGTCTGGTCAAGCCATAAAACGCTTAAAGATGAGAAACTCAATGTTCTATCCAAATAAGCGATAACCAGAGTAGAACCTGTAAATCTTTTAGAATTTTTGATTTTAAGAAGGTGTACCGTACACAACTTTTAACAACTGGATTAACTATTCACTTCCATTCAGATAATTTATTCTCTTGGATTAATTAGGTTAGGTTATTGACTAAGAACTTTAATTGTACTATTTGGTGGTGGTGACACCTGCAGCAATCACTTCACTTAAGATTAGAAAAATAACTGGCACCATCACTCGTAAAGATGATCTGTTTGGACCTTCTTGAATCAGTCCGCCACAGATTTAATATCAACGACCGACCTACTGTTTATAAACAGAAAACGACTGCACTCAAGTTGCACACAAGCTCTATAAGAATGGTACTATTCCTATAGTGAAGTTGATGAATAATTTATTTGAATGTTTTTAACTGTACAATTTAATATTTATTTATTCATGATTATACAAAATTGAAAGTATTGTTAAATATGTTTAACGTTATTATTAATTTCAAAACTGTTACGAATATAGTCATACAGACTATATTTCTAAATATTCTTATATTAAGTGTTAATAACTTACCTTTAGAAAATTACATTTGAAGAAAACAAAACATTTGTATCATATACAAGAATAATAGAAAAGTCATGAAAATGTGTAATATAAAAACACGATAGTTAATGGATGTAACATACTATTTTTGTTAATATTATTATTAAGTGGAAACAGTAATGTTTTAAAATAATATAGCATTAAAATACTTACAAGGGAAATTACATGTATGGGGAAAAAGAACATTAAGGCTCCTTTAAAGCAGGATTGAATCATTGTCAAATATGCTTCATAGCAACTGTCTGTCCATGGATGTAACAACTGTGCACACGTATAATGAGGTAAATCTGAACGCAACACCAGGTGTTTGCTTATCTCGACCATTTTAACAGTTTTGTTAATATAAGAAACTAAGACTAAGATAAAATTGTCTTTTATCAGACATATAAACTTAAAAACTCTCAATTGTTAAACAACATTTCCAAATCACAGTCCACGAATTCAATGATTTCGTTCTGTTAACTTCGCATATAGATCAGTTCACGGGGTCGTTTATGTAAATCATCGGCATTAATTTAAATTTCAAAACCTATTAAATATTTGTTTTCAATACTGAAGCTGATATATTTGACATATTTCAATTATATTTCATAACAAAGTAAAATAGGCAGTCTAAACACGGCATATAAGTATTTCCATAAAACATAGTCATTTGTTAGATCCTGTATACTTACAGTTTAAACAGTAATGTAACTAAGTATTAATATCGAGACATAAACGAATTATTTTCATATTATAAGAGGTTCAAAATGAAAGTGTTATTATGGTTTTAGAATTATAATAATGGTAATCCTTTATCTATTGGCTAACCTTTATCTATCGAGTATAATAAACAACTTCAATCTGAAGAACAACAATGACATTATATGAATTTACAATTACAAATAAAGTATGATAGTTGTAAATTTTTATACAGTTTTCAATTAACTGCAAAGAAATAACTTGCGACAAAAGTTGAGTCTTCAGTATATCTAATAAGAAACAAAATAATATAAGTTATTTTGATGAAAGTACTAACATTTAGCATCCAAAGACAAGTTTATTATGCTACGAATAATATTAATTTACTATTTAATTGTATTCATGGTCATCAGTTTAAATTGTATTTTTCCATATTACTGGATGATATTATATAGTATTTGAATAAAATTCAACAACATTTGTTACTAAAAACACAAAGTATATATAATATTTTCTGCATTTGCACTCATTTCAATTAGTTATTTTACATTTATATTTTTTAAATAATAAAATAATATTCGTTTAAGTATATTTATCACAGGTTCAAAAATTTAAATTTTTTTTATTTTTATCAGTAAGAAATTATAGGCGATCGTGAACGCGACCTTTCAAGGAAAGATTCTAGAATCTGCCGCTTATGTCGATTGTCGCTGCAGTCGGTAAATGGACGTTTGATGTGGTGTTTGTCAAGATTGTGCTATTGTGTGTTTACAGTGATTTTTATCCCGTGACTATAATCCGGATTGAAGTTAACCTTTTAAGGAGTAGATGAAGGTATATATTAGTATACTATATAAAAATTTCGTATTAACATTATCTTTTTGTATCGAAAGTGATTTGGCGCTTGCACCGTCAAGTCAACTGTGCGTCGACCCATCTCTTTTATGTCAGCTGTACACAAAGATCATACGCATTTACATTTTAGACGAAGAAATAATGAATTAAGTTGTCATTATTTCTGATAATTAGGTCTTGTTACACCCTTAGAAGCCTAAGATATAGAATAATTCCACTCTAATCCTTAGGTTTACCTCCTTAACGACGGAGGTTATGGAACGCTCCCGTTGTCACTCTTTCTTAAGCGAAGATAATTTAGCATATCCAGACTTTCTAACACCCCTAATGACCTCTCGCAGTGATAGAAAGGTACCATTGGCCCCGTTTTTATATACAGTAGAGTAAAAACAACATATCAGTGTTTCGTAGATAAGTAGCTATATCTGCCGAATATATTCGTATGTTGTGATATAACTCGTCGATTAAAATGCATTGAGTCGTTCAGTGTTGAGTGTAAGCATGAAATGTGTCAACTCAATGTCAGATGATTGTATCAGAATGACACTGGCCCCAATTGCAGCTAGCAACTAAAAGACTCAGTAAAATTGTCCTTATCTTGTTGTATTTATTTACAACTCATATTCAAAATTGTCATTGTTGGATTAAATTCTTAGAACTATATGTGAATCATGTAAACAGTAAATATTATTATCATGTCACAGTTAGAGTAACAGTTAGAGTAAATTAATTTACAAAGTTATTGCACCCCTAAGTAATATATATAATAAAATAAAGAATCATTAATATAATTATTATTAATTAAATTATGTAAGTAAAATTAAGTGAGTATCTTTAAATTTATATTTTCATTTTTTTTTTCACAAGAGTGGTTGAAATAGTATTCTAAGGTGGCTTACTTTAATTTTTTCAGGGATATTAATTAATTATCAAATATCCTATTAACATAGGTAATATATTAAAAATTCAGATTTTACTGTAAGGGCTTTAAAGTGAATTCATCGGGGAAACCTCAAACAATAATTGGTTATGCTTATAAGGGTTATTCTTAAAAAATCAGAATTTAACAATATTTCTTATAAGAATTCTTTAAACGCTTTCAAAAAATTTCAAAATATTACAAAGACATATACAATTCTATGCTAATTCAACAGTGAACACACTTATCACAAGTAATTCTTGCTTAAAAAATGTAGTAAAAGTTGTGAAATGACAAAATGGCTATCAAATTTGGTAACATTAGAGGAGTTATCTATTTTATTGACCAACACTTATTTAAATAGCACATAATAGATGTTATTTATAATTTACCACTTACTATACATAGGTATATTACCTACTATTCTATGTTCTACACTAAAGAAGTATTCAAATATACACTAATTGCTATAATTATGATCACCCTTATAATTCGTCTGACATCAATTTAAGATTCTTAAAGCAAGAAAATAATTTGAATATTAATAAATACATTATATTTGACCATATACTTAATTTATATCCAAATTATTGTTTCTTCTGTTACATCAAGTAAACAACAAGTTAAAGTCAACGGTTTATTTATTGTACTGTACAATCTTTTTAAAGCATTCATTATTATCTCACAAAGTACTGTACAATTTTGATAATATTTAATAACAATTATTGTAAATACTGAACAAAACAAATCAATTGTTTCCTAAATTAGTGATAATAGCCATACTCATATGTTATGTATGTAATAAATTTGTTTATTGCTTCAATTAATCACATCTTGAATGTAGCAACATCACAATATGTTTCACATAGTTGATTAATCTACCAATACAATCTATTTACGAAGAATATATTTAGAAGCGGTCATTGTATATAAAGATAGTTATTATTTATTATCAATAGTTAAAATCTTATTGGAATATTCAAAAATAATCACCATATATCTATTATTATGGATAGCGGACTGATTAAGGCCATTTGTTGTTTCTATGTTTAGAAATAAACACTCATGTATGCCCACATACATAAATATATTTATCTACGATTCATATATATATATATATATATATATATACATATATGTATATACTAAGTCTGAACTGATAACAATACAAAGAAACATTCTTGATGTTATCTTATATGAATCAAATTTAAATCACTTATG